TTTCTTGAAATTCCCAATAATATTTGTTCATTTGAGTTTGAAAGTCATTTAGAGTTTTCTCAAGACTTTCGTCTGAACGAACTGTAAAGATTCTCATTTCGTCAAATTTGTCTATTAGACCATCAGAACCTTTATACTGCCCATGAAAATATACTGCGAACATAAATGCGTTAGTTCTATTTGAAAACAAAACTCTTCTAAATCCTATTGCCTTTGCATCTGAAGGACTTTGAAGCCAACGAATTGGATAGTCAAACCTGTATACTCGGGATGAAATTTCTTCATCTGAAATAGTCCTACCAGCATTTGTAAAGATATAGTCTAACGGTTTTGTATCTGCTACTTTTGTTCTTTGTTTTTCAACCTGAAGCATTTAATATATGTAAAAATATATTGTTTTAAAATGGTATGCCATTTCATATTTCTCATCTAACAAACAAGTTTCCCAACGGTCTTCTCCAACAAACTCAGCGTACATTTCAAATAAAATTAAAAAATGTCACTTTTTTAAAAAATAAATTTTTATTTCATGCAATGTTTTATTTCTGTGCCGTCTTCAAGTATACCCCAATACTTCCTTTTCGATATTACATGAACTTCGGAAAATACCTTATCTAGCTTAAAACAGCCCATCTTTTCACTGACCATGCCCATTTCAATGAGTTTGTTGTACCCTTCTTCGTTCGTCATGAGTGCGTCAATGTTCTCATAGTAAACCACAACTTTCGATTTGACTTCGGAGAAGAATTTGTTGTAGTTGTCAAGGACTGCCTTTGCGAACTGAGGGTAAGACCAATGTTCGACAATAGGTTTTAATGTGGTTACTAAGCCACTTTGACCTTGAGTGAATTCGTACTTCAAAACAAAAGGAGAAAACCTTTCAACAAAGTTGTCGACCTTCTCATAATGTTTACTCTTCATCTCTTGAGGTTTCTTAATGGAATATCCCCATGTCGAATTCATAAGCAATTTGAGTGTCATTGCAAGTTTGGGGTTTGAAGCTTTCCTAATATCATACAGTTGTTGTATGACTTTTCCAACTGTATAGTTCCTTCCCGGGAACTCACCATCTTCGTTTGGAATTCCAGTCGGAATATATTGGACAAACCTCATGTATGCAGCGTTAAGGTCGACATAGTATATCTTTTCATCTGAGTCGAACTTGTCGCAACCAATTGGTCCAGTTTGTGGAAATTCAAGTGAGTCTCTTATCTTCTGAGAAACTTCTCCTGTTATCTCATAAACATCGTCGAAGCAACCTGTTTCATATAAAACCTTCTGACCTAACTCAGATGCTCTCCAATACAATTTGACGTCAATTGGATGTCTCAATGGAAGTTTGTTTATAGCATCTTGAAGTTCTTGCAACCTCATTGGAAGTTCTTCTGGTTCAGGTTGGTATCCGAACAATCCAACTCCTTGTGGAATTGTGTACTTCTTTTGTACTAGAACTTTGTCTGGAACAACTTTTGGTCTTGCTAACAATGAAAAGTTTGTTTCGTCTTTTGGTACAAAAGTTTCTGTCAGCTTGTCATCTGGAATTGGTTCCAACAAACCTTTCTCGAAAAGAATGTTTACAGCTCTGACAATGTTGCACTTGCCTTTTCCGAACAATGGGTTTGTAAGACTTTCGTTCAGCATGAAGTGGTTGTGGACAATTACAATCTTCAACCATGGTAAATTGAACTCAACAACATAGTCGTCATGTGAAGAACCTTTAGCTGTAGGTATGTTGACTCGGATATTGACATTTGCCAACGGTGCAATTTTTGCCAATTGACCTCTGAGAATGTACCTTGTCTTCACACATGACTCAAGATACTTCATCTTCTCATCTGTAACAAGACCAGAGTTCCTGAGACATGTAAGAATGCAAGGTTCATTGACAATTGTTTCAATTGAATTGTAAATTCCATACCTTGTCAAGTCAATGTCAGACTTATTTATGAACGGGAAGTATCCAGCATGTTGTCTGACTGCTTGAGGGTTAGGTTGGTACCATTCGAACTTGACACTTGCAATTCCTTCAATTGCATTCAAAATGTCTGAGTCGGAGTCAACCATTTGTTCTCTCTTTGTAGTCTTGAAAGCGTCAAGAAGTTTTGCAGCTGTTTGTTCATTGCCATTTGCATAGTAAATGTGACCATCCAAATCTGTTATGGTCAATCTGAGATTGTGTCCTTTCTTATTTCCGTCTTGTATGGCAGCAAGTACACCCATGAAGCCTTCTTTGTTCTTTCCTTCGTCAAAGTTTACTGTAAAGGTTCGACCAGATGTAATTTGACTTCTAACTTCACGATACTTCTCATATGCATATCTTGTTCTTTCCATGGGAGCATGACCATCCTCTGCACTACCTTTTTTCCTTCTCAAAGGATGCAATTGTTCGTCATGTTTCCAGTAGAATCTGGCAAAGCCGTCGTGTCCTTCAACTTGAGGTTCACTAACATCGAAAGGCATGTCCATAAGACGTTCTTCTTCTAACCTCTCTAGTCTGTTTGGATAATTTGCACGTGCTGTTTCCAAATCCATTTCGTAGCGAAGACCAGACAATTTGTCATAGACTTTTATGGGTCTTCCCTTCCTATATTTAAACTTCTTCGAAACTCTCCAACCATATCTTTGCAACTCTGCTTTTATTCTAGCAGATTTTCTATCCATTCTATATGGGGGCATTTTTATAAAAATAAAAAAATATTTTTTCTTTACTTTACATAACCGCCTGCTGCCATAAGTCTTTGACGCCAACCCATACCAGCTAATGAAGGTTGACTTGGTTTAGTTTCCAAACTAAACTTTGGTTTTGGTTTATCTTCAGTTTTTGGTTTTTCTTCTTCTATCGGTTTTTCGTCACTTTTCGGTTCCTCTGACTTTACTTCACTTGCAGGAACAGTTGTGTTGTCAACATCTTCATAAATATCATATGCCATTTGTTTTTGTTTTCCTTTCAACTTTTTGTGTTTGTTGTAAAGTTTAGAATATTTCGACTCTAAGTCAATGAGATGTTCTATAATGAACTGTTGGTCAGTGAAGTAAACTTTTCCATCTGTTGTCTCGAAAGCTCCTTCAGACTTCAATATTTTATTTGTGAGAGTCTGTTTTTTTTTGAGATACTTGCCGTTCCATTTTTATGAAAAGTGACTTTGTAGTTAGGGTTTGTATTTCCAGACCTGGCACTTTCTATTATTGAATTTTTCTCTTCATCTGTAAGTTCTTTGACAGGTTTTGACAATGGTTCTGAACTTTTTGTTTGTGGTGTCAAATCTACCGTTTCAACTTCTTCGGTCATTTCATCTCAGTAAAAAATTTTAGTTTGGTTTGTTTTCAACTGGTTGTTGTTGTTTTTTAAGTCGGTCTAAAACTTCCTGAGGTATAGGAAGAACTTGACAAACACGTTGTGTAACTGCTGGAAGCCGACAAATCCATCTTGAACCCATTTGTCTCAATGCTGTATTGTTCATTTCATCTCAGTAAAAAACTTTACATTCCCCACGTTTGAGGCGGTTGAGGTTGGTTATTGTTTACCCATTGTTGTGCATGGTTATATCCTCTGTTAAAGAATCTTTCACCTTGGTCCATATAGTGTCCTGCTTGGTTATAGTAGTCATTTGCTTTGTTATAATAGTTTCCTGCTTGTCTTCCTACATTGTCCATCCATCCTTGAACTTTTCCTCTTGTTTCAGGATTTGGAATAAGATTTGTTGCATCTCGTGCTACATCCCAACCTTTCTGTACAGTTTGTATAATAGGTTGTGCTTTCTCTTTAAGTATACCTAATGTACTCAAAATCTTCCTTCCAACTCCAAATACACCTCTGGCTATTGTTCCCACTGCGGGCAAAAATCTGGATGCAACTCCTGCTAATGCGCCAAATAAACCCATTTCTTATGGGTTAAAAAATGACGAATCCAAACAAGGACCCCTATGTTTCTAAAGCGACAAAGAAAGCACTCATGGTAAAAATCTTTAGTTCAACACCAAATGCTTGGTTTATGGATATCTTGGAAAACATTCCGAGAGTTAGAACAGATGGACCACCATACTGGCTAATATTTGTCGGTCAAAACACAAGATACTGTGAAGCCATACCATTATGGTCCAAAAATATTTTAGATGTGAAAACTGCTTTGACAATATTCGTTGACAAATACCATCCAACAAAACTGACATCTGACTGTGAAAGTTCTTTCAAATCAGATGATATTAAAAACTATCTGCGTTCAAAAAATGTAAACCAATATTTCATTGTCGACCAAAACCATTCTGCTCTTGGTGTCATTGACGGATGTATAAAAATGTTAAGAGACTTAAACCAACCACAAGGTGGTGAAGCAAATGAAATGTCATATGACGACAAATATAGACACTTCTCCCAGGCAAAGATGAGACAAGTTTTAAATATTTACAATAACCGTAAACAAAAAGGTTTGGGAAACCACTCCCCCGAAGAAATGAAAAACAACCCTGACTTAGAGAAAGACTATATATTTAATAATTTAGTCAAAAGAGACAAACAAGAAAGAATGCCGGGCTTCAAACTTCAGAAAGGTGACAAAGTAAAAATAGAAATACCTAAACGCGACCCATATGAAAATACTATTGACTATGACAACAATGGGAACCCGACAGGTACTCACATTCGTGTTCGTAAAAATAGAAGAAAGTATACAAGAGAATATTATGAAGTTTTAGGCAAACATGGCAAAATGTACACACTGCAAGCAGAAGATAAAACTACTATTGTCAGACCTCGTTTCAAACTTGTCAAAGTTCAAGGTGGTATACTTTCAAAGACAGTTCCTAACAAATATAAGACAACTCCTGACGAATATGCTAAAGAAGTTGAAAATGACGACTAAGCATTTCTATACCATGCGTAAACTGTCATGTAAGGTGGCATGTATTCTTTACTTTGTCCCGTTGTTTGCGTATATCCTGAAACGCGATGTGTATGGTTTCCATCTCCCTGAGTGTTACCCCAGAAACAATTTATAGCAAACTGAACGTTGTCTTTAACATCATATCCTTTACCTTTTGTCATTGCCGACCAATCCCAAAATTTATGCTTATGCCAACCTGCTTGAGATGTACTTAAATCTATGTAGTGACTGTGTGCAGGTAAATTTTCACCTGAAATCGTTTTACTTCCACCTGTTTCCTTTGAAGAGTTTGCACAATACAAAAACCTGTCGACTATTTGAGTCCAAGTTCCAAAACCAAGTACTACTTCTGGTCTGGTAGAGTTCATTGACGTATAAATAGAGCCTATAGGATATAATGTTTGAAGCATTTCTGTCTTTAATGTTTGAAGCTCTGTTTTGTCTGCTTTCTTGTCATATAAATCTTGAGCAGTGAATTTAATATTATGTTCATCCTTCATGACATAAACATCTTTACATCTAATGTTTCTCATCGTCGTTATGTCGTCATCCGATGTTAAACCTTGTGGAAAGTTAGGAGGTTTACAATATAATGCATCCCCACCAGTTTCTTCAACCGTTCCTTCAATACTTTCTATAGCAACAGTTGTAAAACTTGTATGTGTATGAGTCTTATTTGCTTTCTTCTCTAACTCATCGTTAACATAAGTTTTATCTGCTTTAAGGTCTAAACATCCTGAAACCCATCCTGTATCGGCTTTAGTTTTTAAAATCTTCGATGTCCATTCATGGTACCAGTCAACCCTTTCTTTCATTTCGTTATCTTTTTCATCCACATATTCCTTATCTGCTTTCTTCTCTAACTTACTAGCCACATATTCCTTATCCGCTTTCTTTTCAAGGCTAACGTTTAAGTCTGTTATTTCAGATATAGAATGTGTATGAGTCTTTTTAGAATATTCGTTTTCAGCTCTTGTCACTTCACTTGACATTTTATTGTCAACATATTTTTTGTCTGCTAGTTCAGGATGAGTATGTTCTTTTGTTGCATAAGCATTGTTAGCTCTTTCTTCTTCTTTTGCTATTGCATCGTCTACATATTCTTTGTCAGCTTTGTTGTCAACATCTGCTTTCAAAAGAAGTTCATTTATAGGTTTCTCGTTTAAAGTTCCTTTTGTTGGATTTATACAGACAGTATTGTTCTTCTTGTCTTGAAACAGAAACTCATCTGTCATTGGGTTTAATGTCAGTTTTAAGTTTCCTTCTTTCAATGACTCAGATATCTTAGAATAGTTTGAAAAGTTTGTTGTGTTCTTATTTAGAGCTTGCATAATGAGTTGTCGGTTGTGTTGTATTTCTCTCATGGAAGCAATATCTTTCGACATTTTTATTCTAGATAAAATATGCTTTCAATAGAAAAAGAAAATTCAAGAGTTGCTACAACTAAACCATTAGATGAACTTTTTACTAATGTCGGTCAAAAGTTTGAGACAGAGACCGTAAAGCATGAAGGCTATCGTTTTGACTACCCATTAAGATGGTTAAGAGACCCATCCGTCACAAAAGCTATTGGCTTTCGTAGAATGAAGTTCATTTCAGAAGCCATACATGGTTTCCCATTTACGGTCGGTTTTGAAGTTCGATACTATAACAAAGAAAAACGTATGTATGAGAAATTTGAACAGGGAAAACTTTTACAAGTTAGTTTGCTTGTAAACTTAGAAACAACTCTTCAAGCTTTTCAAAAAAAATAAACGATATCTATATCGAATATGCAAACCAGTATAACATTGACGAAGGAGAGTACCATCTCGATATTATTTATGACAGGAAAAATGCAACTGTTAAAATCAATAGAATAGAAGACCTTGGAGAAAACGTTTATATTTCTACAAAATATAACAACTTGGCATGGTATAGATTTATGAGGATGTTAAATCAGCCTGCAGCATATCCAGTACACCCAGACTTTTATGAAGTCGAAAACCCTAATGGAACATATGAAAATGTTTTCGACCAAGATGCTATTATTGTTCATGCTTCATTTTCTGGCGCCCAAAACTCTTTCTTATGCTTGGCAAATGACTTTTACGAAAAACCTACAAAGTTATACGAACCACCAAGTGGAAGTATTTCAGACTTTCAAGTATGGTTTACTACAGATGGAAGAAAAAGAATAATTCCATTATACCATGCGTTTTACTTAGAACTTAGTTTCATATACAACTACTATCGAACGGTAAAAATATAATTTTTTAATACGGTTGAGGTGTTGGATTTGGTTGCCAACTAGACTGTGGTGCAGGTTCAGGCTGTTGTATAACAGGAGCTTGTTCTTCTGGTTCAGGGTCTTTAGGTATAATACCAACAAACTGACCTACTCTTTTACCAATATTTTTGACTCCGTTCCAAATTCCTCTTCCTACGGTTTTTATTCCATTCCATATACCTCTTCCAACATTTCGAAAGAAGTTTCCTATCTTACTGAAGAAACCCATTTTACTATATGTAAAAATCTAATGTCCACCTAGTCTCTTACGTTTCCTGTTGAGTTCCATAGCATTCTTTAACTGGAGCTCATACATTCTGTTTCTCCTCTGGTAGAAAACATATTCTGGGTCAACTCCTGTGTTCGCGTCATCTGCATAAAGTTGTTTATATCCCACCTCAGGGTTTGTATAAAACTCTTTCCATCTCATATTTGCATACCATGGTGGCAAACCTAACGCAGCGTCATTTGACATGGCAGTTTGCATTTGTACATCTGTTGGCACTTGACCATAGTTTGCCATTGCAGTTTGTATTCTAACTTCATTTGGAATATTCTCTGGGTTTGGTTGTCCAGGTTGCTGTGCATTCGCTAAGTTCTGTGCGTCCATTTAATATTAGATAAAAAATATCTCTTACGAGTACATATACTGAACATTTGCAGGCATTGGTTCATCTTCATATTCTCTATATCTTTCTGCCACGTCAAAGAAATAAATGACACAATGGAAAAAACCTAAAACAAGTAGTCCTATTTCAAACCACATTTACTTACTAATAAAATTTCGTTATTGTGACACTTTCTCCGGTTTATAGGACCTCTCTCATATTCTATCTTGTCATATCTAAACTCATAGTCATGTATGTCCTCTAACCATCTCATAACGGTTTCCAAACCACTTTTATCGGATGTAAAGTAAAAGCATGGATGGTTATGTAAAACGTCTAAAGTTTCTAAAGAGTCTCTCAAAGTCCAGTCTACTTGGTATTGAAAATCCCATGTGTTAAAGAACGGCGGGTCCACTATAAAGAAAACATTTTCCTTGTCTTTATATTTTTCATACAACTCTGTCCAATAACATCTCACAAACTCTATACCCTCAATATATTTTTCTATGTCCTCTTTGAAAACATTTGTATAGTTAAGATATAAAACTTTTGACATAAGTGTTTCAATGTCATGAACTCTTATAGAACCACTATATAATAGTCTAGCAGATATACTATCCCAGTCTATATATTCTGCTTTTTTCAAAACCTCTCTCACAATATTTTTCTTATCTAATGGTATACGTTCCATCTTACCTATAGGTATCTTTTTCTTTTAACTCTTTCAATATATTGTTTGTGTCTGGTATATGTTTGAGACGGTCCATATAGTTGTCGAAGTCATTGCATATAATCTTTGAGTCTGGGAATATTGTATGGCACAAATGGGATATATAGAAACTTCCACCGAACAAATCTACAAATGTTAGACCATTCGGTAGTTTCTTAAGTTCTCTCAATATAATATCTTTACATTTACCCTTATTTCCAAAGAACGGTAACGGTGGTTTTGTAAAATTCATTTATATATAATAATAAAAATGTTTTTCCTGAAAAGTGACAGAAAAGTGACAAAGCATGAAAACATATATAATTTGTGAAAAGCGACACATTATATAATGTTTTCGACCCAGAAGAAGGCTTCTCAAAGTATACTTCCTTGGAACGCCTGTAACTTTTCCTGTAGCGACGATAGACCCTTACTTGTCCGGACAAAGTTATACTAAACATCTTCAGGGCTAGAGGGCACGAAGTGCCTGGAGGCCCCACTACCTTTTTTTTTTTTTTTTTTTTTTTTTTTTTTTTAATTGCGCGATGAATGATAAATCTTCACAATTGAGAAAATAATTCGGAATTGTTATTACAAAGCCTTCATAATTCGCTGATTAGACTGCAGCTATAGTCCTTTTACCTTACAACACATTCAATTATTGAAACCAAAACAACACATCATTTTAATTGAAATCTATTGAGAATTTTGATCGATCAAATTCAATATTTTTTGGGGTAAAAGAATCGTCACTTTTATTCACCTCATTTTAGATGAATCGTATCCCAACAATCGGTCTCGGAACATGGAAATCACCACGTAGTGACGATCTCATCAACGCCATTGTTTACGCTGTCAAAGAAGCTGGCTACGTCCATGTTGATTGCGCAGCTTGCTATGGCAACGAAGATGTTGTTGGCCAGGCATTCAAGAAGCTTTGGGAGATGGGTATCAAGCGTGAACAAATCTGGATTACATCCAAACTTTGGAATACTCAACATAGACCAGATTATGTTGAAGAAGCATGCCGCCAGACACTTAAGGACCTCCAACTCGACTACCTCGATCTCTATCTTATGCACTACCCAACTGCATTCGAAGCTCGTCCAGCTACAGGCGACAAATTCCCACGTGTTGACGGCAAGATCCAATTCGATAACGAATGCTCCATCATTGACACATGGAAGGCCATGGAGAAGCTCGTCGAAAAGGGCCTCGTAAAGAGAATTGGTGTTTCCAACTTCACAATCAACCAACTCGAGAGACTGAAGCACTCTGATGCCAAGTTAACACCATACACAAACCAAATCGAGTTCCACCTCTACAACCAGCAGGGTCCACTTAGAAACTACATGCATGAGAACGGAATTCGCCTTACAGGCTATTCAACACTCGGCACAGCTGATTGGGCCAAGCCAGGATCCCCAGTCCTCCTTCAGGATGAAGTTCTCGTTCAGGTTGCTAAGGAACAGAACAAGACTGTTGGCGAAGTTGAATTAAAGTTCCTTCTTACAATTGAACCAGGAGCTTCCCTCCTTGCAAAGTCAATTACACCAGAAAGAATCTACAAGAACAACCATCTTGACTTCGAATTGACAAAGGACCAGGTTAACAGACTTCGCTCTCGCGAACATGCTTATCGTTATGTATCTCCAAAGGTCAACTGGAACACAGATGTTTTAGGTGATGGCTGGTAAAAAAATTTTATTTTTTTTTTTCAATTGATTAAAAATCTCATCTTTTCTAATATATTTAACATTCTTTTCCACAACAAAAACGGATCATCCTTTTCATAGATTAGATTGCTTCATTAATTAAATATTATCCAAATAACAATGAATTAAAGCTTTTTATCGCCAATTTATGAAGTAACAATGACATGCAAAATAAAATATACCACATTGATCTTTATAAATCACATAATTACATATAAAAAGTCATGCGATCAATTCATATTGAAATATTCAATGACCATTATTTAAAATTTTTGCATTTATAACAAGGATTTAAATATATTTAAACAACCTAAAATTTAAAAAGCATTCAATTTTTACCTATTCATCACAAAATCAATAAGAATTTTTACCCAATAATCACAAAATCAAAAAAATTTTAACAATGCAAACAATATTAATTTGTCAAATTTTAATCATTGAATAACAGGCATTTTTGAAAAAATAGTGTTCGGGAGTTCTCAAAATTTTAGGATTTTTACTTCATTTCTATGTCTGAAGCTCCACAGATCAGTGTTGTTGATGCTTTCAAAGCTAGACACTCAATCCGTAACTATAACGGAAAGTTTGAAGAATCTCATATGGCTACTGTTCGTGCAATTGTTGAAGAGGCCAACAAATTAACGGCTCCATTTGGAACAAACGGTGAAATTGCCATTACTGAGCCAGGAATCAGCAAGTATGGCCTCGTTACAGGTGAAGGTGGCTGGATCGTTCTTAAGATTCCAGAAACTGTCGATCTTAAGTCACCAGAATTCCAGAATTACATGCTTGATACAGCATTTAAAGGATGCTATGCTGTTATGAAAATGACCCAAAACGGCATTGCAACAAACTGGGTTGCAGGAACTTATGATACAAAGCTTGTTGCATCAAGATTCCCAGGATCTAAGGTTATTTGCACTATTGCTTTCGGTATTGACTCAGAGAAAAAGAGATTTACTGATTACGTTGCAAAATGGTTCACAAAGGGAGATAGACTTGCTTACAACGTTCTTTTCTATGATGAAGTTGCTAAAAAGATGATTGAAAAGCAACCAGAAGGTAAATTAGGTGAAATATTGGAATGTGTAAGATGGCTTCCTTCTGCTTATAACAAGCAGCCCTGGAGATTGTCTTTCAATGAACCAGAAAATAAATTCAAGATTTTTGACTCCCAAAATCTTGAACAATACACACCTCTCGATATCGGCATCATGATTGGTGGCTTTTACTTTTATTCCGAAGGTAAATGCCAGATTGATGTTAGTAAGTCAGAGGAGACTTTCCCAAAGGGAGGAAAGTATGTTTGCTCAATTAAGTTATAAAAATATAATTTTAAATTTAAGTTATTTTAAACCTACATATCAGATATATTACAAATCGCAATAGAGGAGCAATTAAATATCGTATCGTTGATTCGAAACATGAAATAAATTTCAATGTAAACGAAAAATACTTATATTTAAGGATAAAGATCAATACGAGATTTAGATACATACAAACCTTCCCATTAGCAAAGAACGCTAATTCTTCAATCGGATAGTTTTTTCGAATAGCAATTTTACAGGTAAAACTGAAAAATTATTCTAGTCACCAGTAGACTTAATATTATGGAGTATGTGAAAAAAAAATTTTATTTTCATTTTCCACTTTTTTTGAACTCTTGATAATTAGTGATAATGAGAATATCTACTATAGCTCTAAAATATAATTGGGTTATTGACAATTCAATTGCAATACATTAGGATTTGGAGTTTAAAAATTAGGATAACAAATACTATCGCAGAAATAGAAATGAATATTTTGTTATTGAGAGAAAACATGCGATTTAATCGAACAGCTAATTTTCAATCAAATTTGCTAATTCAATTTTCAGCTAACTATTCTATTTATTCAATTTAATTAAATACATTCACAAACTACACTCTTATGCTAAAATTATTAATACATATGTTTACATATGATTGTATATATTTTTTTTATTTAAATTAAAAAATGACAGATAATGGTTTTATCAAATAATATTCCTAGTACAACAGTAAATATCAGGAAAACAATAATTATCATCTAATTTTCAATAAAATCGAGTATAACGATCGTGTTTACATATCAATTTATTATCAATAATTTCATTTATGCAATCTATTCTTCAAACATGTCATTCAACTTTTTGAAAGTTATCAAAAGTCATTATAATTTCATGATTCATATATAAAATAATTATATGGATTTTTCCATACTACAGTAACTATCAATAATTCTTCTAATTTATAGCATACGAAAAAAAATTCTTATGCAAATAAATTATGATATTTAAAGCCAAATACACATAAATCCAGCTATTCAGGTTTTGAAATTTTATATGGGGAATTCAATTTTTCATTGTTTAATTTTCTGAATTCATTTACTTCTAAATGACTGAAACTAAAACAAACACAATTCAGCACTCAAAAACAAAGCAAAATAAAGCAAATGACACAGATAGATTTCCTAAAGATCTCGAGGATATTGACAAAAGAATAATAATTAATGAACAAAAAATTCAATATGTATCAAAAATTCTTGAGGACCATTATGGAGGAAGGTTAACAGTAGATTTGTTACGAATGTTTGCTCGTCGTCTCTCGAAATCAATCAATAAATTTCTTGATCCATATGCGAACAAAAATAGACTTGGACTTCTATGCTGGTATGCAGAAAATTGGGATGAATTAAAATCCCACTTAGACGAATATATTCCTTCACACTCAGTCAAAGCAAATAAAAAAGAACTCGATAGTTTAATAGAATATCCAAATCCAATAGATCCATCTGATATTAACCAGTTAATTAATTTTCATTGAGTTCTCTACAGAACGAATTTCATACTTTTATATTATCCATTTTGTTATTTAATTGTTTCTTCTTTGCATGATAGTTTTCAAACGCGGATAAAGATGCAATGAACATTGATAAAGTTCATTATATAGTTATAACTAAAAATTCATAGTCTTTTTTTGAAATAGTTCAAAAAAACATCATTCAAAGGTTTAGAAGAGTATCTAATTATTGATTTGGGATTTAAAATCTAATTTCTTGTCAATGGCGTATAATTCAATTCTGATACTGTATTTTCGTCACGAAGTTTAATTAAAACCATGCTGTGATTAACATGAACTTATCATCTGTAAAGTTTAATTTAATTTTTTTTTATTCAATGAAAATTCGAGGTAAAATTTTTCTTATAAAATATTGATCTACTGATGAAGCATTAAAGAAATTCCAATTAAAAGCAAAAAACCGATTAGTTACTTATAGAAAATTCAAAACTGTAGGTTTAAATCTGTTATTTGTTTAAAAATATTTAATAAATGGGAATAAGGATTTGAAATAGATATGTTTTACAATTTCATTATCAAAAATTTAAAACGTAAAATTTTGAAAGCTACTCATTCAAATCGTAAACAATTGTTATAAAAAATTATCGAATAAAATATCTAGATAACATTATATACATCCGAATTTTAGATGACCAATTTAAAACAAATTTTACATTTGCAGACGGAATTTATGTATTCATTTAGTAAATTAGTTTTCTCAAGAATTGAGTTTTATGAAAATATCTTATTGATTTATTTAAATATCTTTCAATTAAATAATTTTGATTGATATATTCGCATCAAAATTTAATAATGCATGCTGGTTAAAAATTACATTCATAAATTTTGCTACGAATTGAAAATTTTGTATCCCTTTGAAAAAATCGAATCCTTTTGTAATTAATTAATTGCCTAATATTTGTTACCTCATATAGACAATTAAATTATATTTGAAAGATAGCAATAATTCTGTACTCAAATGTTTTTCAATGCAGTTAATACCCATTGATTATACCTTCCTTCTTGTCTCATACATTTTTTTTCTTTTTCACTTTCTCTCTTTTCATAAATAATTTGAAAAGATTATTTACAATTATTTATTTTCGATATTGGCAATGAATAGCTCGAATATCTATGACACAATCAAAACAAAGCGCTTTAGGGACTTTAGTGACATCATATTTGCCAATATTAAAGATCAAGAAGCAATTGAAGACAGAATCATAAGAAATGAACCACTCATTGATACAGTTATCAACTGTCTCGAAAGCCATTATGGAAGTAAACTCACAGTTGATCAATTAAGAATCTACGCACGCTGCGCTTCTAAGATAATCAATAAGAAAATTGATAGACTTGCTAATCGTAATAGAATGGCTCTTCTTTGTTGGTATTCGGAAAACTGGAATGAAATCCAGCCCCATTTAAATGAATTTCTTCCTATGGACAAAAATCCAACATGTCCTTCTTCCATTAGTTTTAGCAAAATCTCAAACCAAATCGATCCATCTGATTTTCATCAACTGCTCAATTATCACTAACTTCAATATAATTGTATTTTTTTTTATTTTTCTGTTCTTGTTTGAATAAAAAAATATGCTTATGCATTCATCACAAGAAGTTATTTTTTCAATGTTTCATTAGCTATATATAGCTTTGTAAATTTCCATATAGAATTTCAAAAAAAACCCGATTGAATTCACAATGCCTTCGTTACATTCAATCATGTGAACTTGAATACCTATTATTTCATTACACAATATGATGTTAAGGGTCCACTGTAAAAATTGAAAGTCTCTCAAAATTGAGAGGCGATTTGCAAATAATCGTTATCGTCTTTTTTCGAAAATCCACTTTTCCTAGTGTTCTGATTAATATTTTGTGAATGCAACAATGAAATATATGTTTTAATAAGATGATTATATATTCTATCACTTCAAATCGAATAAAAATTGCAAATTCAGCAAGTTTTATAAAAACATGATTTTTTCGAATTTTTTCGCTTTTGGATGCGAGTTTTGAAAAATAGATATTTTCGAATTTTGATTTTATCTTAAGTATAAGTTTTATATTAGGAATTTTTTTGACCTATTTCTAATCATTAATTCCGATGTTTTTCCAGGAATTTAATTGAGAAGAAATTAGGAATTTCGCTTTAATGCTATGACATACTAATATTACGATGTATGTAGTTTATATTTTTTACAATAATAACTATGAAATCTCAAGAATGGGCTAAATTATTCCCTTTGAACGCAGGTTTAGTGATTAAATATCTCAAAAAGGGTATGCTTTACAAATGAATGAAAACGATATCATAATTGATATAATTTATATGATTGAAATTTAATTCTAAAAATCCGACCTTAGAATTGAAAGGACCCTCATATCTAAGGACAAATAAAGAAAAACATGTAGTAAAATTAAAACGTTTTTTTAATAATGCAAAAAAATAAACAATTACAAAAATTATCATTGTCTAATATTGACAATGAGATATTACATTAACATTTAAGTACAATGTTACATGGACGTTAGAATCCAGTACACTATTCATTGATTTTGTATTTGAATATCTAATTCATGGTAGATTGCTTATGGTTTAGTAATTGTTTGTCGATGTTATGCTTTGTACTGCTGAACAAGGATTATTGTTGAGTTTTTTTGCAGGTAATATTTTTTGACGACACAAAGCTAACTCTAGATAGAGCAAACGTAAGTACTATATAGCTGTTCTTGTAAATTTAAACCGAAATCTATGATTTTGAGTTTATTTCGAATAAATTCGGGAATGAATTTTTGTTTTGATAAAAACTATATATGTTATGTGCTACAATATTGAACCTATAATCATATTATACCAATTTGATATCTGTTTGATTATCACGGAGACCGTAGCAAGACGAAAAAGTTATATGAAAAAAGATGTCACTTTTCATGAAAATTTACATCGATTTATTTATATTATTAATTTTGGCATTATTTTTAACTGTAAAATATATTTATTGTAAAATAATATTTCTTTTCAATTTTATTTTACGTCATTCAATTTCCCCGCCACTAAGACACAAGCTGATTTCTTATGCTTACGCTGCAAATTCATTCTCAAGAGTTATACAACGAGTTAATCTCACGTCATAATGGTATTCAATCAAGTTATTTCGTTTTTATTAATGAAAATACAAATGAAGAATTCTTTCGAATAGATTCTTATAAAATTCAACCACCACCTCCAATTACAATACAACCTCTATCTAATGTTGATGATAATTTAGACCCAAATCAATTATTTAACCAACTTTCGGATCAAATTGATTCACAAATTGTAGCTATAGAGGATACTATTGAAGGATTATCAATGCCAGTCGATACAAATTATCAAGATAATGATGATTCCTTAGATGGCGTAGATAGTGATGACGAATTACCTGATTTCGATCAGACTGTTGATGAACAGACCTTACAAGAACTTAATATTAATAAAAGTTTATCTGAAACACCACAAAACTTTAAAAAATCTCAAATACAGCAATCTCGCAGTACAGATGATTTTAATTCATTAGAAAAACCTCCAAAGTTGAATAGTTTACAGAAAGAAGCTGAAAAATCACAATCGGCGCCTGTAACCGCACAAAATTCTCCAAATTCTTCTCCAAAACGTGAAATTAAAAAAACATTATTAAAAGAAAAGTTTGATTTTACCGCGGTTAAAGAAATACTTAAATACAATTTTCCTGCTATTCCATCACAAAAGGATATTTCTGACTTAAAGAGCAACAATCATGTTCCAAAATACTTCGCCAAAACTTATAGTTATGTTATTGAAATTCTTGAATATTTACATAATGTAATGCCTCTTATTAAAAGCATAATAGAAAAACTTAAAGTGAATATAGATGATATCGAAGAAGCTATCACAATTATTCAAAATAGAGGAGAAGAAAAAAAGTATGAGTGTTCAGAACAAGAGAAGTTAAAACATGTGTTTATATGCCTAATCACAGGAATAGGCTTTGAGAAATACGTGGAAATAATGTCGTATAACAATATTCAAGTTCCTTGCGTCAAAACATTACAAAAAAACGCAGGAAGAGATTGCAAAATTATTGGAAGACTTTGTCCTGAATAAAATTGAAGAATTAAAATTAAAATATATTGGACAGGAGCTTATATGTGGCTATGACTGTAGTTGGGGAGGAAGAAGAAAAAGTGTCCAAGCGATAGGATGCTTAGCAGACGTTATTCACAATTTTATCAGAGAGTTTCATATAACTACTAAATATCAGGAATTCAAAGATATCTTTAAAACAGTTACAGTTTTCCCAGAAGATGAAGCGTCGACATTAATGGAGCATACAATATTTGAAAAGCTTGTCAAGTCAGATACTATTCAACAAGCAATGACATTTGTATCAGATGGTGATAGCAAACCAGGACATGTACTTTCTAAAGAAGGTGTACAATGTGAACAAACAAAAGATGTGAATCATACAATTAAATCGTACTTCGCGTCTGTTAAAAAGAGACATGATGATTTATTAAAATTATTGAGGTATGTATTTAAAGATCCTGAGTTAAATGTAGAAGAAAAAATTATGAAATGGCAATCATTCAAACGACTTTTTGAAAAAGATGAAGAAAAAGTTAGGGAAGAAGTTTTTAATTCAATCGATACATTAACATATCTATTCAGAATTATTAAACCAGGAATTCATACTAACTACAATGAAGCTTTTAATGCCTTGAAGTCTAGATTATTGGAAAAAGATAAAGCATGGAAACTTGGCTTTATTGTGAGATGCTTTGTTTCCGTCTTGGCATATAATCATCCTGACTGGAAAACCCTTTTACGGCAATTCTTTAAACTTGATATTTCAAATTATGATCATGTTTGTAAAACTAGAATAGCAAATATTGAAAAAAGAAGCAAATATGATCGAGAGAGAGTGCAAAGTCTTGAATTTAAAGAAAAGGAAAAAGAAAAGCTAGAAGAAGAAACAAAGAAAAAAGAAGAAAAGAAGAAAAATACTGAAGAAAGAAAAAATAAACAAAATAATGAGGGTTAGTTAGTATCCCTATCTTGGGTACGGCGGCACTGCGTTCCACCTTACCCAAGATAACGGTTTGACACTTTACAAAACCATTAACGTATATTTTACAACACAAACGACAACACTAACTTAACCTTAAATATTTACAAAGCCACCAACCACTTCACCTCACTAATGTAAAAAATAAACGTTCTCACTTACAAAAGTATTGCAACTCCTCCCATTGCTGTGCTTCACATAACAGCTCATAATCTTCTGACTCACTTTCTTCTTCATATAGGTCAAAGTCACTGTCAAAATAAATGTTAGTAAGTTTTGACAAAGCTAATGAAACACGCTTACCGTTTGTATCTATTGCTTTTATATATCTCCCATTATGTTTGTTGTCATAAACACTCAAACTAACTTTACCCTTTCTCCCTCGTATCTGATAGAATGTATTTTCACGAGGAACGAAGAACAAATTCTTGAACTCATGACCGTTGTAGTTTGTTATCTCAATAGTTTTCGTCATTTATATAAAAATAAAATAAAAAATAAACTTAAAAATTAATGATATCACCACCCTCACACGTATGAAAACATAGCACAAAAATAAATTTAGGTGAAGTGGTGAGATCTCACCCGTTTTTTCACCTCTTTTTTCACCCTGTTGAATTCATTGCTTTATAACTCTCTTCCTTGGTTTCTTTTTAGTTGCTTTCTTCACGTCTGTCTCCAACTTGACTGTCTTTCTTCTTCGGCCGTAATGATACCAGTTACTTCCACCAGTCAATGGGTCAAATGGTCTTTCGTAAGGGTTTCCATACATTCCATAGGGACCATACGGAAGAACTACTGGTGGAGAAGAAACATTTTCTTTAGTTCCATCGACTCTATTTAAATGCATTGTTTCACCTTTCATCTGGTCATTAAAGTCTTTTGTGTGTTTTGCAAACTCATCGTCCTTTCCTAAAGCATTTTCTGACTCAGTCGCAACCAAATTGGATGCTTTATTTATGAGCCCTATTTTATTTAATCTTAACTTCTTTGCAACCCAGCCTCCAATCTTCCCTTTATTTGCATCTAATGTCTTCGAAAACCTTCCTCCACTCATTTTATTTACTGCGTCATAAGCTCCAAGTGCTTTTGCTCCAAATGCTAATGCTTTTGTTCCCATTGCGCCTAAAGCTGTCCAAGCTACCATTTACACCATATTAAAATCATCTCTCTTCAATATTATCTCATAAAAGTTCTCGTTACTGGAGAAAGTCAATGAAACATAAGCGTTCTCACGGGCTTCGCCCTCACCGCTTTGCGGTCTATCTAACTTCTTTCTTATCTCATCTATACGCTTCAAAATGTCTGAACAATTGCTAACATCTTCTACAACAGTTATTTCATCATGAATGACCTTCAAGAACAAGCTCATTTAATATGCTATTAAAATCATCTCAATAATGAGTCCATCCTTTCCATCTTTAGGTAGCACAACATCTTTCATTGAAGAAGGTTCGACAAGTCTTATGTTAAACTTACTGACAAAGTTTGTTATACTATAATGCTTCGGCGGCGAATACATATAGTTTGAAAGACATAATATAGATTCTTCAGCAAATTCACTTATACTGGATTTTATAACAATGTTCTCACGAGACCAAATACCACCAATTGACAATCTTGTAAGCAATCCTGCTGAACCTTCTACTGTAAACGTCGATGGTAACATTCCACGAAGGTCATCTATTGACATCTTTGAGTCACTGAATTTAAAGATTTTCTTAAAGCAATCGTCATTATCTAACCATGCAATAGCTTTGAAGTTTTCATTCGAATATACATCTGCTTCATTAAATGTAAAACCTGACTTCTTTGCAGAGACGACTTTAAAATCTATTGAGTTTGTTTCAAAATTATATGCTATGGTAACTTCTGAAGGTAATGGATGTCCTTCCGCAGTCAGTTGTTCTCTCACTACCGTTTGAAGCTTTGTATTAAAAACTTTCATGTCATCTCCTGTATCTAAGTTCACATACACAGCAACAGGAAAACTATCTTGCTTCTTTGTTTCATCATTATACCTCAAAACATTAAAGTTCTTCAATAATATTGTTCTTCCTGCTGGAATACTTCGAACCTGTCTGATTTCAATAGCTTTCTCACCTCCTACATACTCTACCCAGTGTCTTGGATATTCATAAGTATACTGACTTTCTTGAATTTTGGTTGGTTTCATCATAACATGTTCATAGTATATCTTTATACTCTTGTCAGTTAGACTCGGTGCTATGTTCTGAATATTTCTGACTTGCATTTTTAATGGAGATAAAATGAAGCATTTAATACATGACATAGATGAAGACATGAATGAAACTACAGACAAACTTAACTCTTCTCTCATTCTTCCTTTCAGTAAGGACTATGAGTTCTGTTCAAATGGTGTTTATTTCTATTGTGGAAAGATGGGGTCAGGAAAGACATTTAACCTCATTCGTCATATTCTTATAACAGAACGTTTAGGAAATGACTCATATTATGACCAAATCATTATATCAGCAACTTCAGACTCTATGGACTCAACAGCGAAAACATTTATGTCAAAAGTTCAAGCCTCTGTCGTTAAAGTTCCAGACAGTGAACTCATTGAATTTCTTCAACGTTACATTCGACGTAAGAGGAAATATTATGCCATCGTTGAATTTATACAGTCAGGAATGCAAAAGACTTCTGAGGAGATGGAAAGAATTATTGACAAACACCACTTACGTCAGTACTCAGGAGTTTACGATATGAAACGACTTACAAACTACATTCTGTCAAAACTTTCAAAATACCCCTTCAAAAAATATCCATCAAACACTTTATTAGTTTGTGACGACTTCGCTGGTAAAGGTTTAGTTTCAAAGCCTGACTCACCATTAGCTAACATCATTACTAAGTCAGACATTACCATTTAACTGAGCAATACTTATGCAAAATGAGGTTTTTAGCTTTAAACATAAACGTCTCATAACTGACTTCGTTATCTTTCAAGGTTTCTCACGTTATGATATTGAACTTATTTGAAACAGTCAGGTATACATTACCTTTTGAAGAATTGGGAGCATATAAGTCTCTCATCTCTCCTCGTTCATACTTGAGATTCATATCATGACTAATACCATTAAATTCAAAAATATTCCATGGAACGACCAACATTGTTTTAAAGTTTAACCTTCAATTGACTGATGGTAAACAAATTCCATGCATCTCTGTCGCCATTTCTGTTAATATTTTTGCTGTCATTCATATCATCCACTTCCCATCCGTTAGCTTTTGAGGATATGCGTTAGAATAGCTGTTCTTAAATGAAGGCTTTTCACCTTTGAGAGCATAAACTCTATAACTTTCTGCATACTTTATGTTTGAACCTCCTGAGCCATCATTGACATAAATTTTTATAGGCTTCCACCCTTTGTTCATGTTCCTGCTTCTTCCCTTAGCTCTTTTGTTCAGTAGTTCTACATCTTTATACACAGCTCCTGTCTCAGTGAATTCAACAATATTTTCATTCGTTAGCTTTACATTCAAACCCTTGTCGAGTATATTGTTCATTTCATACATATAAAAGGTTTTTATTCTATATGAAATGAGAAGCAAATCCATCTTAGCTGGTGCCGTTAATGTTCCAATTGAACCAACATCAAATGTTGACTCACGAACGACAAACAATATTGTCATAAAGAACTATAGTTCAGAGTGTTTGAAAGAACCAGAACCAGAGCTGAAATCCGTGAATTTAAACTCAGCTTCAAACGCTAACGCTACATCAGATGTTAAGTTAGAGTATCCACCACTGGACCAATTCTTTCAAGAGAAGCCAACGACAACCCTTACACAAATGTTCAAACAAATCCTTCAGATAACGTAGACCATTACCTTCTTCAGTTATACCAAACAATTTTACTCAAAGACGATAAGAAGCTTTTGACAAATCTTATAAGCAAGAACCAAATAATTCTAACAAAGGAGGACCTTGAAAATGTTATCTCACGAATAACAGGGAAACAATGTGTCATTGACTATCTCGACCCTGAAATCGAATGCTGTGGTCAAACTCCACTATTCATGAAAATAGGTAACATCCGCATCATTGAAACACCAGGAACTACAGGAGTTGAGTTTAAGTATAAATATTCGAATGAATATACAAAACTTTCAACAGAATATAAACTTTGTTTGAAATATGTTTTAGTAAATTAAAGCAGTCAGGAGGGCTCTTTGAGCCCATCTTGGCGCTTTGCGCCGTCAGTCAAAAAAATTTCAAGTTAGCAATTTGTAATATCTATCCAAAACTTCTTCAACAGTATCGAACTCATCTTCATAATGCAAAACTAATCTTATTGACTTGGTGCAGTTTTCACTAACACAATATTTTTCTGTTCTCTTGACTGACATAACTAATTCATTTGTTTCATCAAACAGCAACAACCAAAGTTCATGACCTAATACATAACATTCATACTTTATATTTTTAGCTCTGAGTTCTCTTGTAAGCTGTTGCATTTAATATTTTCTAAAAAGTCAACTTCAACAGTCATTCGCACTGGTGCCTTCAGTTCTACAGGCTCTCCTTGAAAGTCAACAAGTCTGAATTGCATGTCTTTCAAATTATGAGGACTAATGCGAACCCATTTACCTAAATGAGTTGCTATGACAGGAACGTTTGGAATGAACATTGAATTGACTGCATAACAGAAGGATTTATATTCTACTGAACCTTTACTATTAACTCCTGAAATGCCTGTGACATTAGCTATTTTAGACTCAATGTATAAACAATTACCATAACATACGTATGGAACAGATTTCATCTCAATCGTTTTGTCAACACTTTTCAAAGGAAATCTCATATGATATGCACCCAAAAGAAGTTGTACTCTATGACTCATTCGTGTTATCTTAAACTCCTTCACATAACTGAACTTCAAAACTCCTGCAATAAGTTTAACATTCATTAAGTTTTCTTCGTTATCCTTGTTTATTGTAGTATTTAT